ACTTCATACGTCATTCTAAATTCCTTGCCAAAGCTCCTATCTTATTTGTGAAGAAGAAAGACGGATCTTTGTGAATATGTGTGGGTTATTGAGGACTCAATAAGATCACCATCAAGAATAGATATACTTTGCCTTTGATTTCAAGACTTCTTAATCAACTCAATCAAACAAAGATCTATCCCAAAATAGATCTATGAAGAGCATATAACTTAGTTTGTATCAAAAAAGGAGATAAATAGAAGATTGCTTTTTGAACTAGGTATAGACGTTTTGAATATAATATCATGCCTTTTGGACTCACAAATGCACATGTTACTTTTTAGCATCTTATGAATGATATTTTTTATGAATTTCTAGATGATTTTTTTGTTTGTTATTTAGACAATATTCTAATCTACTCTAAGAACACAAAAGAATATGAACTTCATGTTCGTCAAGTGTTACACAAACTTAAAGATACAGAATTATATGCCAAATTGGAAAAGTGTGTATTTTATACTATTCAAGTTGACCTTTTAGAATACATCATTTCCAACAAAGGCCTTATGATGGATCCCAAGAAGGTCCAAATTATCATAGAATGGAATATTCTAAGAACAGTTTGAAATGTACAATGCTTTTTAGGCTTTGTTAATTACTACCAAATCTTTATCAAGAACTTTTCTCAAGTTGCAGCTCTACTTATATGTTTGACTTGTAAAGACAAACTTGAGTGGAATAAAGAAGCACAAGCATTATTTGATGCTTTAAAGAAGGTATTTACTTCTATGCCAATCTTGTATTGCATCAACTTTTTTCAAGGCATTTTTTATGAAAATAGACACCTCAGACTTTACTATGCGTGTTGTATTGTTACATATGATAAACTCTACCTAGTAAATTTTCATTCTAAGAAATTTTTAGCAGCCAAAATTAATTATGAGATCTATGAAAAAGAGCTTCTTGCAATCCTGGATTCATTTGAAGAATGGCATCATTATCTAGAAGGTACTTCAAGTCCAGTTATCATGTATATGGATCATAAAAACCTCGAGTATTTTATGTCAACAAGTATTTTGAATCATTGTCAAGTCCTTTAGAGTATGTTTTTATTCAGATTCAATTTCAAGTTTATTTATCAACCCAAATAACAACAAGGTCTATCAGGCACCTTTTTTAGATGTTCTTATCTTATACCAAAAGAAAGAGATGCATCTTTTGATCAACAAAGAACGATTCTCTTGAAGCCCAAATATTTTCATCTTTGAGCAATAAAATTAATATTAATTATTGATTTAACTTATATCAAGTAAATCTAATTAAGTATGTCCTCTGATCCTCTTATTCATGATATCAAGAATCTTTCTTCTAAGTCTCATGATATTTCAAAGTTCTAGTTCAAGAACAACCTTCTCTATTTCAAAGGATGCCTATATATTCCAAAAAGAGAAGCTTGTTTATTTGTTCTTCAAGCACATCATGACTTTCCAAGAGCAGGACATTTTAGATATAATAAGAATTTAGAGCTTATATCTAGAGATTTTTGGTGGTCACAAATGTGGAAGGAGATAAAAGACTTTGTACAATCATGTGATACTTGTTCAAGATCCAAAACTCCTTGCCATAGACCTTATAGAGTGCTTCAACCGTTACCTATTCCAAAACAACTATAGTCTTCTGTTTCTATGGATTTTATCATGGATCTTCTAGTCTTATGTTCACATGATTCCATATTTGTAATTGTAGATTGCTTCACCAAAATGGCCCATTTTGTACTATTTACAAAATTTATTTCAAGTGAAAAAATAGCTAAGCTTTTTATTGATAATATCTATTGTTATTATGGATTGATAAAGGATATTATATTAGATAGGAGGACTCAATTTGTATCAAGATTTTGGAGAACCTTATTCAAGATTCTAAAGGTGGATATAAAGTTTTTTTAGCTTTTCATCCTCAAATTGATGGGCAAAAGGAATAGATGAATCAAATTTTGGAACAGTATCTATCAACTAGCACCAAGATGATTGGACAACTCTGTTGCCATTGACAAAGTTTACATATAATAATTTAGTACATTCTTCTATTCAACAAATATATATATATATATATATATATATATATATATATATATTTATTAATTATGGTTATCATCGACAATTTCATACTTTTGACTTTTTAAAAGTTGATAATCTTACAGCAAAAGATTTAGCAAATCATTTCTCAGAGCTATATGTAACAATGAAGATATAATTAAAAGAAGCTCAAAGATGGCAAAAGACCAACACAGATGCCTGTTGCAAGGAGCAATGACAATTCAACATAGGTGACAAGGTATGGTTACTTCATCAGAATATCAAGACTACTCGTCTTTATGATAAGTTGGACTATTGTAAGCTGTGACCTTTTTCTATTTGTAAACAAATCAATTATGTTGCTTATCGATTACATCTATCAGAGAGTATGAAGATCCATCATGTATTTCACATGTCCCTTTTTGAGCTGTACAAGATAGTGAATATTTTGAGAAGAAGACAAATGCCACCTCTTCCTATAGAAATAGATAATAATCAAAGATTTGAGGTAGAAGAAGTCTTCGACTTAAAGTAGCGCCAAAATAGGTTGGAATATCTTGTTCATTTGTACAAATATGATATTAGTGAACGTACATGAGAGCCATCAAAGAATCTTGGAAATGCAACAAAGAAAGTTGAAGCTTTCCATCAATAAAATCCATCATAACCAAAATGAGGAATAGTAAATCTTTGTTATAAAAGAAACAAGATCAAAGGAAGATAACTTTCTACCTTCTATCTTTCTTTGTAGCTCATATGTATTTGTGATGCTAGAGAGATAGAGAACCAACAACCAATAGATTCAACTCAAGAACTTCCATTTGCGGATTTATCAGTTTAAACATTGCGATTGTCACAACCTTCAAGGTGACAGAATTGAGATGAAGATCCTCAAGAACGACATGTCCTTCTTCAAATAGATGGCGAGATACAATGTGTTTGGTATTATGACCTTCGAAGAAACTTCCGTTGTTCGGTAATTTTATTAGAGGTAGGAACAATTCTTGAAGGTATTCCAAATATTCTATTTGAAGAAAGTTATAAAGGGCTCAACAACGACCAAATAACAGGGTTGTCATTTTGCCCTAGTATGGGACACTATTGATGACTAAGAGGGCATATCAACCATTTTCAAAGAGAATAAAGATATGAGTATGTGGCAAATACAATTCGCGGCATTTTGGACTTCTTCAACATATGAAGACCGCTCTTCGTAGAACTCATCAATAGAAGGCGGAGAAATATCACAGACATATACATTTATTTCAATAATTACTTATATGATTATATAGAAGTAGGTAAATATAGATTAATTTCATAAAGTCTTTTAGTGAAGCTTTCTAGAAGCTTCATAGATGCAGTTTTGATTTTAGATGTGTTTGTAGATCAGAAACTTGGCCAACAAATTAACTACATGTTGGTAGCTTGTGGAACAAGTTAACTCCGTATAATAGCTTGTGGAACAAGCTAATCATGTGGCACATATATAAATAACTTACCTTGCAAGTTAAGACATGTGGTTAGCAAAGTCAACATGTTTTGGAGGTCCAATAGGACATTGCCTTGTAGCTCCTAGTTAAGAGTATATATGGAGGCAAGAGTGTTTCAAGACTTATCAATGCCGTTCTAGTCCTTAGTCTTGTTTCAAGACTTTCTAGTCTTCTTGTTTTTAGCAATAGCCATTCTAGTTTATATTACATTACCTTTTGAGTGACTTTCTAGTTTTCTTTAGTAACACAAGAGTGTATCAAAGATTCTCTTTTTTTGAGATTCATGTCCTTGACACAACCTCATACATAAATAGTCCATAGCACTCAATAATATTCTTAATGTGGAATTGTTACAAAAACTCTATACAAAACATATTAAATCTCAAATCTAATATCACAAGAGAGCTTTATTCAAATTACATATAATCTTTTAATTATCGTTCAAATGGCTTGTTTATTTCTCTAATTGATTTGTCACATTTATCTATTTATTAATTTACCATATACATATTCATTTATGTTAACATATACATATTACCTTTTAATATTGAATCATATAGAAAACTCACCAATATGAAATATATACCATGATGTATATGAGAAATCAGATCCAAGTTAAACAGATCCAAGTTTTTACTAAATCAACCTATCCATGATGATGAATATGGTACTTATGAAGAATGTGGTTGATTTTCATTTCCCTAATTAAAAAAAAAAAAAAAAAAAAAAGGAAGAAAAAAAAAGAAGATAACTTCAACCAAAAACCCTTCGACATCCATTTTGTAAAGCAATTCTTTATACAACCATCGTCGCGAGAGTAAGAGGAAAAGAAGAAGAAGACTCAGACGAGGTGAGAGAAGTGGGGTTGTGAGAGAGAGGATGCGCGTGCGCCAATGCGCGGCACCAGCCCCGACTACGAGGGGCGGTCGGATGGAGAGGGAGCTGACTTGCAATTCAAAACGCAAGAGGCCAATTATCGTCAATCCAGCGGGTGGGTCAGGAGGAGCGAATTACCCACCTCACACCAATTTGCGGAATGCCGCTTTTGAGAAGCAAAAGAAACGCAGATGGTTGCACACCCAGATAGCAACGTGATAACACAATGTCGACGACGAGCACAGCAGGTGAGCCCAAGTCAATTCCGGAATCCAGAGTCAGTGAACAGAAGGAAGGGCCACACTCCAGGAGGGGAGCAGGATTAATGTGCTCTCGTCGATTAATTGCGACAGAATGTTTCTGAGATTCAACGAGCCACAAGTGCATGTATCTCATCAAAGGTGGGGCCTTTGACTATTTGATGGTTGTCAGAGGGGTTCATTCTTTTTATAAACCTGCTCCGGGACCTACTGGGGGAGAACACGCTAATAATATAATCTCGATAAGCTGTCGCTGGGGGTGGCTTGGCGAGGCTGGCGACTCTTTCTATAGCCGCTTCTTCCGAATAATTATGGGCAAGGTCCCTGCCATCCTCTGACTTTGCAAAAGGCCACTGGGATTCAGCAGATTTGGATAGCGGCGGCATCTCTCCTCAAAAGCGTTCGCGTCTGACTAGCATAAGTTCGGTGGCTAAGTGGGGGTGTGATTTCCTTCAACGTAATTCCGACGGTCGGAATTGGAAGGACACCGGGTGGAGTACAGAACTCTTGGGTTGACAACTCCGGATGACGGCATCTGTATGACTTGCCGGTCTCAGTTTCGAATTCCTTCTTTGAGAACAGTGTTTGTGGGATCTTGAGAGCGGGGCGTTGAGGTTCAGTATACGAGTTTGTCATGACTATTGTGATTTCGAGGTGGAACAAACTTAGATCGGAATAGGAATCCCAACCAGTTTTTTTCACTCCATCTGGGCTTCTTGCGACGTAGTGATGTGAAGTTCAGGACCGAGAACCGGCATCGTAGCAGCATCATAACTTTGCAGTCGACGCTAGCATGTTGGGTGAGGGTATATCTTATTAGATGGAGTGCGACGTTCAAGCCAGCTTTCCGTATCTTCGGGGGCTTACTGGAAATCGCATGCTCAGTTCTTGTGATAGAATAGATGCGAAGGCTTCTATCTCGAGGACTCGGGATTTGCTCCCATCATGGCGATGGCTGATTACGCTTTGTGTTGCGACCATGCTGTCCTCTGAGGCTCCGTCGGTTGCTTCGCAAGCTGTTGATCAAGGTACAAGAGAGCCTAGGCTCAAGCTATTCTTTGTTACATTTTTCGTTTTGCTTATCACGAGAACGCACTCCATCTCTTCTAAAGATAGAACAATTCTCAAGTCTGCAATACATGTTCTGCAATAGGTTCAGCTTTGAAGAGTTTGGCACGCGATTGGAACGCACAAGACTTGCTTGCGGATTGGGAACGGAATCCGCTTCCTGACCCGTGTCTTGGAGCATGGACGGGTGTCTTTTGCGACAACGCGACAAACACGAATGTTGTCATCTTGTAAGTTCACATAACACATAAGCACACAATAATGGACAGAGAGTTCTTGCACATCCACCTCAGATGAATTCAACATTCGTGGATTGATATGGATACTAGTAGGATGCATGAGAAGGCCGCCTTTCTAGTCACTAGAGGCACAGTTTGATCTGGGATTTCTTCATTGAGAGCGGAGGTTTGACACCTGAAGAAGGCAAATTCCGCTTCATCAGAGTATTTAGTTTCATGAACACAGCCGAAGGCTCACACTCTAGCCAGAAATATGGCCGTGTGTATTGCTTCAGTACTCGTGAACGCCTCGTTTCAAATTCTCCTACTAACGAGAATAATACGAATGTGATGGTTTGTGCATGTCACCTGGATATGAAGAAATTTTACAGCAAAGGGGCTCAAAGGTCCTATGCCCTCCCTGATAAGTCAGCTTGTTCACTTAGAGGAATTGACTCTCGATGACAATCGTATAGAAGATCCAATACCGTCGGAGATTGGCAGACTTATTCACTTGAGGAGATTGAGTCTGAACAATAACAGCCTTACGTCCCTTCCTCCAGAGGAACTTTTAATGTGCAATTTAACCTACCTGTAAGCGACACTCTCCATTTCATATTTTGGCTTCTAAGTTTTCTCAAGAACATAGGATGATGATACAAACATGTTGAAAGCAAGCTTTATGTTGCCCACTGCGAAAGCAACTGCCTTGGGACAAAGATAGACTGACCCTCGAGCACCCCAGAAGAACCCTCATGTGCTTGCTTCATTGCAATCCTTTTGCACTTACTGCTTAAATCAAATCCTGCCTGTTCCTGAAAGAGGCATGCTAGTTCTCTTTTGTAGGGCAATGCACAAGAATAACATTTATGGACAGCTTCCTCTATGGATCAGCAATATGGTCACCCTTGAAAAACTGTAAGTGCATCCATGAACAGCTGCTACTTGGTCAAATATTCGGTGGCACAACATTTTTCCATGCATCGCGTATTGGGACATTGCGCAGTTGAGAATCACTTTAAACCGTAAACTTTGAACTTGCGAATGGCAATCTTTGGGTACTCATTGATGGTGATGAATTGTCGAGCATTCAGGGACATGTATGCGAACAAGCTTTGGGGTGGCCTTCCACCGGAGTATGGGAGGCTGACAAACATGAAATCCATGTAAGTGTAGTTCAGCTGCGAAGAACCATTCAATTTCTCCCTAGAAAGTTGTTTGGATTAAAGGACCCCTAAGTCTTGTGACTTGATTCAACCGTTTCTTTCATTGGCTTCCGATACAGGCAACTGTGGGAGAATCAGCTGTCTGGTTTCATACCCCGTGAGTGGAGTAACATGAAGAAGATGCTCAACTAGTAAGTTCTGAACGCTCCTTCTTGGATTGGCTCAACTCGTATTGTTCCAAATTTATGTATCTAATCCGCTCAGCGTCACTTGATAATAGTTGTGAAGTTTCTTCTTAGTGGAGCAGACCAATCCAAAATCGAATGGAGCAACAACTACAGTGATGTAAATGATTGCATTGGACCCCACATCTTCACCCAACGGACTTGACCAAGCAATTTTCTTGATAATGTGAGATGAGAAATTCAGTAGAACAAGCTTGGATAAGGCCAAGTTGGTCCCACTTCGGTCCCATCTCGAAGTAAATTCATATACGTGTACTCAGATTTCGGGCTGAGACCGAAATGGGACCAAATTAGCACCATCTGTTTTGGACCGATGCAGGAGTCAATCTGGTAGAAGTACATTTGGTTTTTCAGTTCAGCCCCCAGTCATCTAATTTGTCACTTGACTTCCCGTTGTTCATGTGACAGTAAAGTCTAATGTACGTGAACTTCGTGTGCTGTTGAGGGGCTACACCTGGTCGGAAAACAATGAGGATGATATGTATAACACCATGATGACTAGTAAGAAGGGGGAGCAGGAATTCTAATGACTATTGATTAAGGCAGTTCGATAACAGCTTCAGCTCTTTTTGCACAATTCTTGTCACAACTGCGTTTTTTGCCTCCAAAGGCATGTGAGTAATGCCTGTTTTCACTACCATGTGGCAGTGGTTTGGGTCATCTCTACCTCACGGGCAATGTACCGGATTGGTTATTTGAGCTTCCATCCTTAAGGACTGCGTACGATTCTTACTTATCCCTCTTATTTGAGTTCTCGATCAACCCAGACTGCAAGCTTCTATTTTCTTATTGTCAGTCTTGTTTCTTCAGCGGCTGCTCCTGTCTTTTCTTTGCTTTTCCTTCTATTTTTATTCATTGAGAGTGACGCTGTTTGCTAAACTTAGGATCTGAGATGTCTTGGCTCGAAGGGCAGCATAATCTTAACAGCTTTTCTTAGCCCATGTTTTATGTCTCTGTAACAGGACACTTTCTCGCAATCAGTTAATTGGGCCATTTCCGAATCTCACGAAGTTGTTGAACAATGGAAATCCCGATTTCACCAGATTGTGAGTGTGATCATGCATTGGTGTGCAGGCTGAAGGATCTCATGTTTATGTAATATCTGCTATTTTGCATACCTTTCAGACACCAAGCTGACGATTTTCCGTGCCTTTGTTTTCGAATCGCTTGTTTTCAATTTCATGGTTCACACAATTTACTGTCCAATAAACGTTACGTTCGCTTTTCTCAGGGACTTGAGTTGCAATTATCTTACTGGAGCGTACCCCACAATTCGCAATACTGCAGCTCCCAACACTACAGTGTGAGTCTTTGTTCCGTCTCCTTCTTGTTAGGGCATGTATCGGCATTCTCTGGATCCATGTTTCTGAGGCGTTGTAATGGTGGTTTGAAACATGTGTGTGGAGCTATAGAATCTCATATGATGGTGGTAATGGTTGTCATTTGGTGGCTCTTTCGGATCTCATTTGATAGTGATTAGTTTTTTGAAAAATGTGACGCAGGATTTATTACAGCAACTGTTATGACAACGAGACAGATTCCAGCGCCACGATTAACACACCTATGAACGCAACCCAGAATACTCCGCAAAACTGCAGTAGGAGTTGGGACTGCACTAGTTTTTACAACCAATTTTCTGTGACCCGAAGTGAGCTTATCCACCATGCTTGAGCTTACTTTGCGCTGTTCACGAAACATTCATCGCTTTGCATGAATTTAACAGCACTCCAGATGTAAGTTGTAGCGTCAAGGTAAAGGCAGAGCAATCGTCCATGTGAAGATTGTATCGTACTCTTGTTCTCTTACACTAATTCGATTTTCTCTCTTTGTGCAGATGAGTGTCCCCCTTGTCCTTCATCTCAAACTCTCACCGACCCCAGCAAATGTGTGTGTGGAAAAGGTAGGCCATCTTAGGTGAAGTCAGAAGAACGTCACCGAACTTGATGTTAGTATGCAATAATCTCCACATTCTCTCTTTCGAAACTGTTCAGAGGTTCATCCTTTTACATGTTTGTATGGTAATTCTATATACTCTTCACATCCTCAACATAAACATGACAGACCTTGAGGTTGGGTCAAGAAAAGCATTAGTTTACTACTAGAATTATTAAAGCTAGACTGACCAACGTCTTATCATTTTCGCTGTGTTTTTCGTAAGTGATTTTCTTGAGAGAACTAATGAACATAATAAGAAGAGTGATAATAATAACAACAATCTTTTATGCGGTTGCAGGTTTCTCCAGCAATGGTACTTCTACTGCACCATTTATAGGAGCTGGTGTCGTTGGAGGTTTTTTTGTTATGATCACCGCCTTTGTTCTTACTGCTTCGTGTATGAAGATGAGGAAGCCCAAATACCCTCAATTTGGGAGGAAAATCGAAGGTATGCTCTAGAAGTCACAAATGAGTTCTGCACCCAAAACTAAAGTGCGATGTGAATGTTGACTTACCTGGTTTGAGCGTATTAGTTACAGTCGTTCTCATTCGATCTAGCTGGCTTGTGTGGTTAGGCGTCGATGATCCTTGGATAATTCCAGAGGGGCTGCGCAGATTTCGGTTGCAAGAGCTGGAGGAAGCCACCCAAAAGTTCAGTCAGAAGCATTTCCTCGGTATGGGTGGTTTTGGAAATGTATACCAAGGATTCCTGAACGACGGGAAAATTGTGGCCATAAAGTGTGCGTCATTGCGGAGTGCACAAGGTCACAAAGAGTTTCAAAATGAGCTTACATTGCTCGCTCGGTTGCACCATCGCAATCTCGTTGGACTTTTAGGCTTCTGCGATGATGGGGGACTCCAGGTTTGTCCTCTTGATGCGTTACTACGACATGTGTTACCTCGTAATGTAGTTTTATCACATATGACCAAAACTTACGATCCTCTGCTTTTGTATGGTCAATGTTCAGATATTGGTGTATGAATACATGTCGAACGGTGATCTTTACGACAACTTGTTCGGTGAGTCTGCCTGCCTCGAAACCAAAATAAAACAGGGTTCTTTTCCTTGATCATTCTGCTAAGCAAGGGTTGGTACTGGTGCAATCGTCATAGTTGTGTTAATCAACAATTCGTGTTTGAAGTACAGCATTTGAAGTGTGAGTAGTTTGCTTAGTAAGTCATATCAACCATTGTTAGTGTATATTCGAGTATATTTATCTTGCTCAAGATGTGGTGTGTGCTTTTGACTGGTCTGAAGGTACTGACGGTAGACCATCCCTTAACTCGTACCAGCGGGTTGAAGTTGCTCTTGGCATTGCGCGGGGTTTAGATTATCTCCACTCATTTGCGGTATGATTCATCTGTCTGATTTTATAGGACACGAAGTTTTTGCAAATTTGTTGTTCAACTGGTTAATGGCTTCCTCCCAGAATATGTTTCAAAGAGTACTTGTCAAATTTGACGTGCCAGTTTGAAACATGTTAAGCAACCTAATATGATGTTTCGCAGGATCCACCGGTTATCCACAGAGACATTAAGGCATCTAACATCCTTCTCGATGAGTTCATGGTAGCGAAGCTAGCGGACTTTGGCGTGTCGAAGATATCGCCTGAGCCTTACTCACACATATCCACACGACCAGTAGGAACTATGGGGTACGTTGCAGCAGCTTATTTCTTACATTACTTGATTCACCGTTACTTTTTCACATGTTTGCATTTCGTGGGGGCGTTGGAATGAGCTAATTACTATCTGCTCATTAAGTTCGTATCTCTGACAGTTGCTTTTCCTGTTTTCCAATTTATCTACAGGTATGTTGACCCTGAATATTTCAGAACGAATCAAGTAACGGTTTCGAGTGATATATACTCATTCGGCATAGTTCTTCTGGAAATCATCACAGGAAAACCCATAATTGACGACCAACGAGGAGAGAATACGAATTTAGAAGACTGGGTACGTAGTGCTAAATACTCTGCTTGTCTTGTCCAACCGGAATCGTAAACAATATTGAGGAAATTCTTTCTAACCAACCCTTTCAGATCTGTACCGTTTCTTAACATATTTTATCATATGGCCAACCCAAACTATCACACTAAATACATCAGTTCGATTTTTGTTCATGATTTTGGCTCTGATGACCAGTTCTATTCTTCAAGTTAAACTGGTTTGCGCTTGACTTCTTGCATACTCCTACCCATCTCATCAACAACTAAATCATCTTCCTTTTGGATTACATAAAATGGTTAGATGAGCCATTTTCTGAGGGTAGACATGGATTTGACACCTTGGATGGGATCGTGTAGGTGAAACCAAGATTCATACTCAGAGGAGTGAAAGAGATTGTTGACCCAAAATTTAAGGGTGATTATGATGAAGAGCTTTTTACAAAAATGACTGAATTGGCGATTCGATGTACTTCAGCTAAGAGGAACGACCGACCAACTATGAAGGTATATCAGAACTTCGACCGCAGCCGCGACTTGATTTCCTTTTATTTAAACACCTCTGCGTCATTTTTTGTTGTTTACAAGAGTAAACTACTTTTGGAAACATATCAATGAGTCATTCGTATTGTCTTTCAAAGGTGATAGGCTGTGCGTGACATTTGCAGCTTAAAAAATACCAAAAATAAAAAATAAAAAATAAAAAATGCAGCACATTTCTATTTTCAGTTTTGAGGTTTGTAAATAATCATGTGGATTGGACTTATGCAGGAGGTATTGAATATCCTGGAGCCATTAGCTAGGGCATCCTTGGAAGCTTTGTCAGAACGAATGCACTCAGTCTCAAAGTCCATCGACAAGTCTCTGTCTAGTGAGCGATCCGAGTTTTACTTCAATTATGAGAGTAAGAATCCTCCACTAGTAAGGGAGAGTCCTGAAGCAGGCGAGTCTAGTAGTGATGGTAATGTAGTTACCAAGTATTTGGATAACCTCGCCACTATCCAACAGGTTCCCCGATAACCAACATCGTTTGCCATTTTACTTGCCACTGTAATTCGTAACAGAAATCTACTTGAATGGGTAGACTCTGAGTGGAGCAGTAATTTTCTTCCAAGGGTTGATAGAAATTGTAAATTTGCTTCAAGCAAGTTGGAGTGAGCTCTTTTTTAGAGTTTCTGAGGGTTCAGGTATAGTTTAGTGTACAGCTAGGCAAAAACTGTCGAACAAAAGCTGTTCGTGCATTTTGGACAGGAAACGCCAACCCCTCACATTTGAAATCATGTTGCAAGCTTAAGCTTGATTGACACCAGAACTCTCTCCTACAGTATTGCTCCTCACATGATTTTCCATGATTACCAGCATGCAATACTTCTCTAAAAACCAACCCTCTCATCAATTAGGTACAAATCAGGTGAAGAAGGTAGACTTCTACACCTTTGGACTCATACAAACTCAGCATTAACGAAGCCTACATATTGATGAAAATCCAGGGTCACTGGAATAGGAGAAAAGACACACTCCTACAACGAAATGTAGGTACCAGTCTCAAAAACGGTTTGGGTCCTAACTTTCATTACTACCACCAGCGTTCAGTAACAGCAACAGTGACGCTATTGCATTGCACTGAAGACTGTAGACATTCCCTGCACATCATATCTACCAGTTACCATACAGGCGCAGTCAGTTCTACACAAAATGCAACAAAATAACGGCAAGTTTGGATTAACAAACGGTAGAACTGTCACATCGCACTGAAGTATCTGTGGACGCACTATCTTCAGGTGGAATTTGGAATTTGAAAGCTACTGCAACTACAACAAGGGTTTTGGTGTCAATCTCTCTCTAGCACAAGGCAGTGTAAACACATGGTACCAAAAAGGACACGACCCCAAGTGACGGAATTGGGTGCCCCCATTTGAGTTCCCCGCCGAATGATTGGGAATGAGCGCCATTGGGAACCGAGAACCAGTTGTGATGCGTATCGCGTCTCTGCGAAACCCTAAATCCTTGCCTTTCTTGTCTTCTCTCCATCCTGCCTTGCTTGCTTCCTTCCCTCAGTGAAGCCTCTGTCCACATTGGTCGCGTCCCTCCAATTCCGCAGCTATGGCAGTTAAGCTTCAGCCCGTTCAAGTACTCTACTGCCCTGGTAGCTTTCTCTCCCTTCTTATTCCACGAAGAATGATGCCGAGTTGTGTTAATACAAGTTCCTGCAAGTCTAGCCCTAGATTTGAATCGGGACGTCTTGTTTACTGGTCGGTGCCCGGTGTTTCCGGTTTATGGATGCGCAGTTTGCTCGATGCCGGCGGAGTATTGCGAGTTCAGTCCCGATTTCGAGAAGTGCAAGCCTTGGCTTATCAAGAACGTGCCGGATTTGTATCCGCAACTAGTGAAAGGTGAATTCTGTTGCTTGGTGAAGTTCCTGTGGTGGCAGTTTATTTTGGATGCGGTGAAAGTGAAGGAATTTATCTATTTAAATTTTGAGCTAGATCGGTGAGGGCATATGTTCGGGTTGTTCGTGTCCGTCGGATCCTAGGTTGGGATTTGACTAATTTTTCATTAGGAAGGCAACTCGATTCATTTGTAGCCATCTATGAAGCAATGGAGAAGTGAGCATGGAATTGATGTCATAAGCTGCTCCTCGTTTTGGCGATTCTTCGCATTCGATCGTGGAGCACGTTTTGAACTGGTTCAGTTGGCATCTAATTTAGGGCTAGACTTGCAGGAACACATCTGACATTTCTTGTCCTGAACTCTAAGAAAATTCATTTAATTAAAAAAAATATATATATATATATATATATATATATATATATATTGAGAAGGGCCATTGGCTAGATAGTTTCAGAAACAGAGCGTGGTGCTGGTCCGTGCAAAGGTTTTTAGTAGTAAATATGGATCTTTTTCTACAGTGCTATATTTCAAGGCTAAAAAATCACGTTTTAGTCTTGAACAGAAAAGTTTGCTACTTCAATTTGAACTAGCTTAGTGTTCTGAATCAAATGACTTCATTTTCGGTGAATTAAGAAGGGAATTTCTGTTCGAATGTCAAATTCTTTCATCAAGAAAGTCAGGATGGGAGTAATTCTGGAGCCATTTCTACTTTTTCTTGTTTTTTTAAATCTAGGTGCTAATGTAATAAGTTCAACAATCATAAGTCTTCACAGCTACAAGCATATTGCTCATTAAGCATAGCTTATCTGAAAAGGTCTAGTTCATCGAAGTTGGAGTACTTTTATTTCTGATCGGAACCACTGAATAAGTGGTTCGTTCAGCTGATGTCGTTAGTCTTCCATATACAGTTGTACTGTTCAGAGCTTATGATATATGTATTGTGATCAGGTTTAAATTAAAGTTGAATGACGCATGTTAGTTATTTGTGTGTTCTGCAGAGGCTGCTGAGAAAACAGCAGAACAATTGGATGGTCTGACTGTAGGAGGAGAGAATGCTGGTGCTAAAGGAGAAGGTATCAATGTTTCTACTCTCTCAATATAGCTGGGAATTGCCACATTAAGTTTAATATTTGAACGATCTCTGATTCTTTGAGCAGCAGATTGGAATAGCTACGTCATGTGTGATAAGGACATATATGTCACCAATTGTTTGTTTCTCTTATTCTCCTCTAATAGTTTTTGAAGACTCTTCTTTTGGAGTCTTAACTAAGGCTAAAAAGACATCTTAAGTGCCCCCATTGTTGGACTTTCCGGAAGGGGAAATTCGTTATTTGAATATCTTCGTTGTATTGCAGGAAGTTCATCCGAGCCGAAAAAAGAAGATGAAGTCAAGAGGCTACCGGGTGGGAAAGTGAAGAAAAAGGTAGACTTCCACGTGCTTGTGTTCCAAATATTTCGGAACCTATACGCATATCTTTACATATTCGTTTTCATGAGTTCTCATTCATTTCTGTTGGATTGTGACTTCAGGAAAAACCTGAGGTGGTCGTGGAGAAAATAGTCAGAAACAAGCGTAAATGTGTAACTATCATAAAGGGCCTCGATATGTTTGGTAAGTGTCGTATTGTCGTTTTATTTATTTGGATTCATTTGGAATTTGATTTTTTGAGTCTATGATCTTTTCAGACCACTTCTTACAAATGTTTTATAAAAGCAACTGTTGGATGCAGTACATAATCGCTAAAGTTGATTTTATTGCAATTGCAGGAATCAAGTTGAGTGAAGCTTCCAAGAAATTGGGAAAGAAATTTGCGAGTGGTGCTTCTGTTGTGAAGGTCAGTATCATTATCCCCATTACTGCTGATAATTGGCGTTAGCCGGTTACATGAGATCATGTTTTGCACCTTCAGCCATTTAATGGATGAGATTGGCCTTAACTTTTACTGTTAATGATCAGATGTTGCATAACTGGGAATCTGAGACTGATGCTCCTACTTTGTAGATGCTGGGATTGTGGCAATATTGAGAACTTAGCCAGTGTTCAACTTATGTGAAGCTCACAAATTATGTTTTAATTTGTGGCTTCTATCCTGGATCGACTGATCTTGGAGAACGCTCCAAGACCTTGATTGCTTGTTTTTTGTTTTTCTTTCGCAGGGCCCAACTGAGAAAGAACAAATAGATGTTCAAGGAGATATCATGTATGACATTGTGGAGTTCATCACAGACACTTGGAAGAATGTAAGTATCTTGGTCATCCCCTGGTCTCCACTGAATGTGGCTATTGATTTTCAGCATGATTAGTGATAGCTGATGTTCTTCGAAGGCGTAGAATATGATGATCTCGAAACACTGAAAGCTGGTTGTATGGTTTCGCAGGTTCCAGAATCGGCAATTTACTTCATTGAAGATGGAAAGAAAGTTTCAGCCAGTGGGTAGGGTTGCTAAGTTAGCTCGTGTATTATTTAAACTCTCAAAGGAGGGTTATCGTAGCTCTAGTGGAGTGCCACATGGTCACGTTATGTTGAACCTGAGCTGGGAAAATACGACTTTCAAGGCATGTGATTTGTATCAGTCAAGAATGCCTTACTTTTTATTTTTTTTTAATGAGGCAATTTTGCTTGTTTTCTGGTCCTGTGAAATCCAATGCGAATAAAAAATTCCTACTCTCTTGTTCTACCCCATCGTTAGAGTAGACGCATTTCCTCCATTATAATTTCACGCGGTCGGCTAGGTTCCAGAGGTTTAATTAAGTGTGGAAGAACGATATAGCTTTGTATTTAAAAAGTGCTATTTTAATGTCCAGCTTCACAACCATCTCATCTTTGAAGACCTCCTGTGGATGCTCTTTATTTAATATTTTGGTTCCCCTTCTATTCATTTGGGCCTGTCTCGCGTATCGGGTACTGCAACCTTACACATAGTGTACATACGTTTTCGTATCAAAATACATTGTGGCTTGAGGGGAAGGCTGCCCTGACCTAATCGAAAGTCACTTTACTCAGTGCTATCTTTAATGGCATAGAATAATTGACAAACGGGAAGCATTTGTCTTTTGAAGCGATCTAGGGTACCTAATCGACCATTTTATCCAATTATTTCTCAATTTTATCGTGAGTTACCTGTCCACAACCCTCATTGTGACGTCCCATAATTAGAAGAGACCTAGGCACAAGTTTGTGAAATATCTTACACGACTTAAATGACCCGAAGTGTTGCAGGCCATCGCTTTTGCCGGACAAAGGCCGAAGACCAAAGACAACGTCACCGTTGGTCGCAGCCAAATTGACAGCAGCTTTGCGTTTAGCTGAGGGAGACCATACTGACAGCAGGACCTTGTGCCATGGTCTGCAGCGTCAAGCGCTCAATCTCTCCAGCCAACACAACCTAGGACTTCCACACATTGAAATCGTCAGCTCTCCCACTAGAACATTTCACTTCACACGTTTTACCTCATTTGGAGGCTGGTCTACTATTAGACCATCGATCACTTAATCACTGTACACATCATATTTTTCCCCATGTTGACAGATGGCCGGGCGGGATGTGATTCGAGAGTGCGCTGCCGCCCATCCTGCAGCCCGCCACGTAGATGGCCGCTACCACCCAGTCTTACAATCCAAGAGAAAGTCTAGCAACGGGCACCAGGAAGCAGCAACAAAGGCATGTTTCGTAGCCACGTGCGGGAGAATCTAATATCGCACATGCAGGTTAACCCAAGGGTTTGATGCACGAAGCACGTTGGGCTGCAGGAGAGTGGGACCAAGAGTTTCATAACTCATGGGCCTTACCAACAGGAGCGAGAATCAACACACGTACCTCCTGCTTGCTCGACCCACCCCGCGTAAAATCAGCTGCTCCACCTCGAAATGTCGACCATCTCTCTCTTGATGGCGGTTGGATCCTGCATCAGCAGCGCCCAACGCAATCTGCATAAAGATGGTCAAAGATGATCAGTCATGACCCAAATGCGTTCGAAGATCCACCGAATCACACCACGATAAAGAAACAAGTCCCATTTTCAATTGTCTCCGCTTGCTGCTGCTGCTGCCATGCATTGCGCCACCTTGAAATGCGAGAGTATCATCAGAAATGCATGGCAGTCTGACGAGATCAGTAGCTGGTTGAACTAACTCCAACGTCGGCATCGCCATGTCTGGGTTTCGGCGTCCAAGAGCTTGGGCCCACAGCAGCTTGAGAAGTTTCTGGCATAGAGATTGTAGACTGCTCAGCGTGCACTTTGGAGGCTGGAAACACAATGAATCACTTGCAAACTTGCACATTTCTATAAATGTGTATTTATATACATATATATAAATATATATATATAGATATATATGTGTGTATGCATGATTGCTTCAACTATGTGAATTTTCTATGAATGTTTTTATCATGTGTTGCTGTGTGTAAATTGAATGGTCTTTTTGTTATTCTGTCTGATTTATTTTGTGACATGAGTGGGATGTATTTTAGAAATTGTGAGTTGGTTGAGGGTTGATGTCACGTGTATATTGGGGGTGTAGATTGGTAGTAGAGATACTACAGTGAAGATTGTGATGCATGGTTTTGGCGAAAGTATCCAATTTGTTATGCGCAGCATGGAAAAATACAAAAGAGAAGAGAGTGACATATTTATATCATGTTTTTCATGTATCTACACTTCATATTTTTCAACTCTTATCTGATTTCTTTTAATGTGTTTATAGAAAGAGTTCATGTTTGTTCCAATCTAGAAATTGATATACAAACAAATATGAAACACATAGCCATCTATCTCCTTCAAAATTTACTCATTCTAATCTAATAAAAAAAAATATTAAGAGTTAATAGAATAATTAGTACAATTAGATATGTGCTAGTCATTTATAATATATGAAGTTTGATTTTTTAAAATTAAAAAATTATATTCATATTTATACTATATGATTAAATATTAAATAATAAACTTGATATCTTTTATAGAGATTTAATATAAAAGAAAATAATAAAAAAATACAAATTAGATGACTAAGATATAAAAAAAAGTACAATATGTGGGATAAAATAAAATCTCATATTTAAAACTTGTTACTTATAACCAAAGAATGTCTATAAAGAAACCTAGTAATTGATTGTTATATGATTTTATCAAAATCATGTTCTTTCCTTATAATTGGCTTTTATAAGATTTTTTTATTAATGATGTTATCTCTATATAGTTGGTTGCTATAAGATTCTATCTAGATAATAGTGTCTTAATATCAATCTTATATCAATTCTACTTTTATTGTGTAATATACAATCTTTTTATATTTATATAATAGTATCTTAAAATCATGTATTCTATTTCTATTGTATAATATATAATTATTACTTATATTTTATATTTTTATAAAGTAAATTTTAATCTAATAATGAATATATGTCCTATTATAGATCTACAATCATTTGTATCACTAGCATAATATGAATCACAATAATCTCATAAAAAATTCTTACTTTTAAGATATAATTTTAAATCTAATGTTTCTTTTAAGTAAATCATAATTTTCTTCACTAGCTTCTAATATATAGATCTAATCTTTAACATGTAATAAATTATAACACTCATTACATACACAAAATGCATTCTTATATCTAATGTTGAATATTGTTATAGTCATCCAACAAGAAGATTTTAGAAATATTTTTAGAATATTTTATTATATTTCAGAAGGTTTTAAAATATTTTTAAAATATTTTAATGAAAGATTTAAAAAGATTCTTAGAAAATTCTAAAAGGTTCTTAAAATATTCTAGTAGATTCTAGAAATTTCTAAGAAGATTAAAAAAGTTGGTTAAGAAGCTTTTTATGGTTGATTTTTCTTCAAGCCACATAAGAACTTTTTAAGCAGCTTTCTAGTACCTAATACATATTAGAATTGAAGCTAAAGAGATCTTCAATCTTGACAACATATCTCTTGGAACTCTAGCTCATCTCTCTTGGAACTCTCAATCATCAAGATTATCTTCTTATTAATAATAGAGCTTGATTCTTCTTGATAGAGAGTAGATTATCTCTTTTTTTTTTAAGGCATTTAAGTGCTTAAGAGGTTGCAAAGTACCCTCCTCTAAACTAATATTGTTTAGAAACTCTTTTTTTCATTCAAAATGGTTGGAGGTGAAGTTGTTAGTATGGTTGAATTTCTAGAATCCAAATTAGATGTAATTAAAAATACATTAAATGCTTTATTTTGTAGAATTTCTAAAATTGTGGAATTTTTTATAAAATTTCATGGTAATGCAAGAATTGAAGCAATTGTTATGGATACATCATATAAGAGACCAAAAAAGAAGTTAAATAGAAGAATTTCAACAAGAAAGCTAATAAGAACTTGATTAAACTAGATGAATATAACATCAATATCAAAAAAGTGAGCTAGAGCTCCAAAATTTATATTCTTAAAGCTACAAATTCTCTTAGCCTCAACTCAAACATATATTAGGAATTTTAAAGCTTTTGAAGAAGTTTTCATATTACTTAAAGATGAAGCAAACTTAAGAAGCTTCTTGAAAAGTTTCTTTATTGCTTGAAGATGAAGCAATCTTAGAAAGCTTCACAAAAAACTTTGAGAACTTTTTAAAACCATTTAAAATATTCTATAAATCTTCTAAGAATCTTTATAAAATCTTTTAAATCCTAAAAAAATATTTTAAAGATAATTCTAAAATCTTCTTGTTGAATATCTGTAATATCACATCTCTTTCTAATTCCAAGTTCTACAAGAAGTATTGGTGTTATATTTGCTTTCTTTATTATATATAACATCCTAGCAATAACTTTATAGAAAATTCATCAAAAAAGAAGTTTAGATTTTTAAAGATAGCGTCGGTGAAACTCTAATATTTTTTGTAGAAAATTAATTAGATTTTCTATTTATTCTTACATATTGTCATTGATATTGTAGCCATACCAATGAATAAAATATTCCAACTTGACTCTTTTTAGACAAGAATAAAAAAATCTTTTTTACTTCATATTTCACATGATTATCTATATTAATATAAGGTAGTTATAATTATATTCTTCCTAGAATAGTTGATTTTGAAGAAGCTTCTAAAAGAAAAACATAAAAGACTAGACCTATCTTTATGGATGTGGGTGGTTTCAACCAATAAGCCATTGAATTGATTTAATTTTGAATACAAAATAGCCCTATTATCTGATAGTTCAACTTATTGCAAGGTTGATTGGTATTGATATTTTGTCAAAGCAGTCATATTTTATTTTCAACTTAAAAAGTAGGAGATTTTTTTTCTAAATTTGTTTGAAGATACTTTGTAAGAATCTTGACCTGCTTATAAATGGACCTTCAAAGCTATTTGGAGATATGACAATTATTTTACAAGATTTTCAACTAATGACTTTTATTCTTTTAATGTATTTAACAAATTAAACTTTAAATGGTAATCATAATTGATATAAAATAGTATTTATTAAATCAAAGCATGAAGAATATTATTATAAATAAACTCTACTAAAGATAAATATAAGATCCAATCATTTTATTAATAGTTGATAGTACATTACAAATATTGGTCCAAAACTTGATTGACTTATTTTGTTTGACCATCAATTTGAAGGTAGAAGGTAGAAGAAAGTTTGATATCTAACTTCAATACTTTAAAAAAGGATTTCTAAAACTTTGATATAAATTGGGATCTTCAATCAAAGTTGATATCATCAACTAGGCTATAATATCAATATATATTATCAAAAAAGAGTGTTGTCATTTCTTCACCATTTATTTATTTATTTATTTATACAATAAAATGTACCATCTTTGTAAGTCAATCTA